CTTTGAATAATTTCCTCATTTGTGGAAATAATATGTCTGTTCTGATGTGAGTATATATATGGTATATAGATTTCTTAACACGAATTTTTAAACCATTTAATATTGAGGTGTCATAAATTATTTTTGTAAAATTAAAAATCTTGTTCTTGTCATAACCAGTATTTTCTTTTTTTCCGGGACTTAATTTGAAAACTAAAACTCGACTGAAAACCTATGGTGGTGTTTCATTAGATAGCACATATATATATATATATATATATATATATATATATATATAACGTCTAGATATTAGTCAACGATCTTTCTTACGAGGGCGCTGGATCGATACGAGTAACGATACATGTACACAATAAATAAAGTATATAAACGCAGGAAAAGTGTACGAAACAACACCATTATTAAAAAAAGGGAACAATAAATGTAAGCATCTATAAATATTTCGGAGAACAGATATCCTTCATCAGTATAACTATGATGTAAAATGAAATGAATAGATTGACATGATTCATTTTACATCATAATCATACTGATGAAGGATATCTGTTTTATATCGATATCGAGACAACACCGCCTGCACCGTGTCCAGCGCTCTAGACCACTCGGCCACCTAGACTGAACTAGTGATATCCTAATAGCATGAGTTCGAATCCCGGCGAAGGAAGAACACAAATTTGCTTCAGCAAATTTGCAATTTTAACATTGTTGTGCTGATATTTAGAGTAATTATGAATATAATATGTGTTTTCAGCCGTGTATCACCTTCACTGGTGATCCAATGAATGGATCTGTCGTAGAGTTGTCACTTCTTTAGACGTATATACAAATGTATATATGTTGTCTCGATATCCCAATAGCAATATATATATATATATATTACTAATAAGATGCACTGTGAGCTTACCAGTGAATCCCAGCTATAAGCAATCGGTTGACAAAAAGTTGAGGAGCAATGGCTGTAAAAATTCATCTTACGGTATAACATGCTCGCATGAAATCTGATACCAATTTCAAAATGCTCTGACCAATACCTCGTGAGAAAATTATTAGGAAAATTCCTTATTAAAGGTGTAAGAATATATATTAAGAATAACACCCAAATTTTATATATTTCTGGCTCAAACTAACTGTGAAAAATGCGACGAAAACGTTACGCATGGCCATTTTGGGTCAAAATATTTAATTAATAGGAAAATGTTGAGAGCTTAATGTTAAAACGCAGCACACAGTTAAGGATAGATAAATGCGACGAAATATTAAAGGGATTGATGGACGGATCGATATGACAAACGGACAGACATACAGAGATAAAACAGCATACCACCCTCCTTCGGACCGGGGGTATAGCATGCATAATAGGAACATCATTTCCCTGCATTCTTGTTACTAATGAACCGATGGGAAGGGGTATGAGTTGATATCGAAGAGGCAACTTTCAAAAGAAATACTGTTGAAAGTATCTAATGTCAGAAAAGGGCACTTTATTGCTTTTGTTCATTTTGCCTCGTTACTTAACGACATTCAATGCTAAGCTAATCTATACAGCCTCAGTTAAGAGTTTTTTTTTTATATTTACCAATAGCCATACGTATGTTCTTTGAATATATTATGCATATTCCGGCGTCTAGGTATATTTAAGAGATAAAAGAATTTGAGCTTGCTTTTATTTGAAACCAATCCAAAATGGTGAACACTTTTAGAGCTGTTTTCCTAATGCTTGTAATTTAAAGGTTTGGTTAACTTGATTTGTTTGTATAATTTAAATATTTGCTATTTTTAATCTCTATATAAATGACCTAGTTTCGTTCTTGAAATCTTGAAATGAGTGGGGTATTGATATTAATGATGAAAAAGTTTTTATTTCACTTTATGCTGATGATGTGGTTATACTAGCAAACGATGAAAAAGAATTACAAACTCTGTTAAATACATTAGATATATGGTGTGGAGATAATTGTATGACTATTAATTCCAAAAAGTGTAATATTGTGCATTTTGGAACGCCTTCTGTTAATAAGTCACATGTTGTATGGAATTAATATCATTGAATATTCTACTACTTATACTTATTTAGGTTTAGTTTTAAGTGAAGTTTTAGATTATAATGTAACTGCTAAAGCTGTTGCAGCTTCTGCAAATAGAGAACTTGGTCTTGTTATAGTTAAGTGCAAAATCTTAGGTGGTGATTCTCATAATGTCTTTTCAAAATTATATGAGAGTTTGGTGCTTCCAATTGTTGAACATGGTGCTGGTATTTGGGGTTGCAAATTTTTTTTTTCTTTTATTAATGCCATACACAATAGAGCATGCAGATTTTTTCTTGGAGTTGGTAAATATACTCCAAATGCTGCAGTTGCAGGGGATATGGGATGGATACCTATCTTTCAAAAACAATGGCAATGTTTAATTCGACTATGGTGCTGTTTGAACAATATGAGTTCTAATCGGTTAAACAGAAAAGTGTTCATATGGGCAGACATTATGAGTAGAAAACACAAGTGTATAAAAAATTGAAATTTTTATGTACGGAAAACATTTTCTGAGTGTAATGCAGAACATTTGTGTATTATTACAGAATATGTTGATAGTACCGCAATTGTCAATACTATTATGTCTAAAATGTTTAGTAAATATGTTGAACAGTGGCAATGCAATTTACAGTCAGAGAATGCTTTATCTGGTAAAGGTGGTAACAAACTTCGAACACATAATTTATTTAAGAACAGTTTTGAAACTGAAACTTATTGTACAATTCCAATGTCATTTTCACAAAGGGGTTCTTTTGCCAAATTTCGATGTGGAGTAGCACCATTAAGAATCGAAACGGGGAGATTTGAAAAATTACTTTTAGAGGAGCGAGTCTGTGATAGTTGTAAGGATATTTTAGAAGATGAAGCCCATGTTATTTTATCGTGTCCTTTATATGACGATTTTAGAAAAAAAATATTTGATGAAGCAACACATTTTAATAGTGATTTTATGTCTTATGATGATAAACAGAAATTAGTGTTTTTATTTACAGATATTAATATGATTCGTAGCTGTGCCAAAATCTGTAATCTTATTTTAAATAGACGTAGAAATGTTTAATACTGTAAATAATGTTCTTATTAATATGTTTTATAATAGACGAATTCTCTATAATTTTTAATGTTATAGTCTCTTATAATTCTGTACAGAATGGCTCTCTTTTTATATCTATATATTTTTACACTAAATGTAATGTTGTATTATATATTATTGAGAGATGAGACTTAAATAAAATATTGAATTGAAATTGAATATAAATGATTGCTCAAGCATTGTAATTAAGATTGACATCAGCAATCAATAGATAGGCGGGGCTTTAGCTTGTATACATTATACACTGCATTATACTTAACATCCCATAACATTTAAGTATAATAGATATAAGAAGATGTGGTATGAGTGCCAATGAGACAATAATGTATACAAGCTGAAGCTCCGCCTTTCTATTGATTGCAGATGTCAATTTTAATTACAATGCTTGAGCAAACTTTATACAAACAAAGCAAGCAAGCCAAACAAACCTTTAAACTACAAGCATCAGGAAAATAGCTCTGATGGTAACTTTTAAAAATTGGCAATAACTTGTCATAGGATTATTCTCTAATAATAAAATATGTTTATTTCAGGAAATATCTTTGTATAGACATGAAAACAGTTTTAGTGTTCTGTATTCTAATAAGTAAGTTTATCTAGTATACACTTCTCTGTAGTTATTGTAGTGATATCTAGCAAATCGTGATTATATAAAATATGATTGTTTTTGTTTTTATACTCTTCTTTTGGATTGAAATTAAAACGTCGATTTGGTAACAGCAATCTACAACTCTTTTTTGAATATTTTTTTGCAAGTTTGCTTGAGTGTGACAATAACCGCGTGTAAGTTGGAGCTCTCAAGACTACCCTTTTCAATATCAATCTGTGAAAAGTAACTCAAATAATAAAAACAACCAACACTTAATCATTTAAACCGGTAAAAGATAACAACTTAAGGCATACGTAAATAATTACTGAATAAGACAGTTAAAAAAAATTGGATCAGGTACTAAAATCAAGCTGAAAGTACTTAACCTTCAGATATCTCGCTGATGTGACTTACCGTATAATACTTATCACCAGGTGTTTACTTACATTAGCAACACGATCTCTCTTTCACACTGTTATATTAGAGACCGTACTTCGGAATATATTTCATCAACAATTCAATAAACATCGTAGAAAGAAACGTTCTAGTGCAGTGTACAAAATAAATTTGTTCAGGACAAAGAAAAAAAGAAGAGAAATAAGTCTTTTTAGCATGCAAAGAAGTGCATTGATATTAATCCAGAGATAACAATCACAATGATTCAAAAACAAAGGTATGATTATAACCTTTATACAAACTAATTCACGACAACAATTAAATGTGAATTTTCCCGAATGTGACCTACCGAATTAGACTTATTACCGGGTTTGTACTAACATGAGCAACACGACGGGTGTCACATGTGGAGCAGGATCTGCTTACCCTTCCGGAGCACATGAGATCACCCCCAGTGTTTGGTGGTGTTCGTGTTGCTCAGTCTTTAGTTTTCTATGTTGTGTTTTGTGTACTATTGTTTGTCTGTTTGTCTGTTGGTCTTTTTATTTTTTTAACCATCGCGTTGTCAGTTTATTTTCGACTTATGAGTTTGAATGTCTCTCTGGTATCTTTCGCCCCTCTTTAAAATGAATATTCCCGAAATGTAAAATCAGCCTGAGCTATTGTTTTTATATTCGAAAAATATTTCTGATAAATTTATTTCTCGCGACAACAATAGAAAGAATAAATAACTTATAGTAAATATATATAAAGAGGACAAATCAGTTATTTTAATATATTCATTTTCATATAAAAAATTATATTTCAGGTGTTATGTACTGCAAACAAATGTTTGTGAAGAAATATACCAGTGTTGACATTGCATGTCCTTTTATACCAATGTCTTGGTATAACGACCAATCAATAATGATAGCTGTCGGAAAAGACATCAATCCTAACTTTACATCCAGATATGGTATCACCGATACTAGTAATCTTAACATTTTAAACTTTACCGATGCTGATCAAGGACTATACATGTGTCAGGGAGTGGTTGATAAGGAATTCCAACAACATACAGTTGTAGTAAATTTGTGTAGTAAGTAGGGTTAAAAAAATCGTCGTAAAGTGTTTTTTTTAATATTAATAATAATCTACTTATTATTATAAAGTGCAAATACTTATCATTTCTGTTTGTCAAATACACCAATTTCGTTTATTCGTGCTTAATCATTTTCTGAAATTAGAAACTATGTGAATCGATAATTAATTCATATTATTGATACGTAATGCCTAAGTCTATAATTACTATAACATGTATTAACCGATTTTCGAAAATGAACAAACTGGTTTACGTAGCAGAAGACGCTTACCCTGTCGTTGAACCCGGTTTCGCCACTTTTGGATCGGAGTTTATGCAATCCCGCATTTGTTTTCTGAATCGATTTATGAGGTTTGAATATCGGTAAACTACTGTTGGCTTAATTCATAACCTTTGTTATTTTTCTGTAGACATACCGGAGATGATCAGCTACGTTTCGTACGAACAAAACGAAATTTCTAGTCTAGCGAAAAGAAAACTTCTCTGCATAAACGACAAAAATACGCAATACAATCACCAACTTAGCCACAGAGCAATCATTAGTATTCTGAAACTTCCTACGTCTAAACAAAATATTGATGATAGAAATATAAACAATGTCAAAGGGAGGTTAATGGAGTATAAATGTATGACATTGAACGCAGACAATTGTGTGATTAGCAACAATACGTTACAGTTAACTGTAGAATGTGAGTAAAATAACGTATACATAATATACACAAAAGAAAATGAACGACATGGTTCGAATATATTGATCTGTTGTGGTTCATGCTAAATGCTATAACATCCAAAACAAATCAACGATCAATAAAATTCTTACTTTACATTTTACAACATTAAAAATGAAAGGAATGTTCACAATCTTGAATGCTGACATATTGCATATTGTTATCAAGCGGTGAAAAAGTTAACACATTGACACCCAACAAATTCGTAGGAAGGGACACATTTAAGAATGTTTCTCTTTTTGTTGTTGCTTATTCTTAATTATTTAACACAGATTCTCATCTCGCAACATAAACAGTATTGAAACCGAGTATTGTGTATCTTTAATTTTATATGTAATATTCATCGTTTTACTGGAAATAAATAATGGAATAATGAATACAGAATTTGCTACAGTATTTGAAAACGTGCGTTAAAATGTATAAATCAGTTACCTTTCATTTATTTGGTAAAAGAGAGGCGAATATACCAAAATATTCAGTCATAAGTCGAAAACAAACTGAAAAAATCATGGCAAAAACCGGAAAAAGACAATAAGACAAACAACAGTACACCAAACACAATGTAGAAAACTTGAGACAGAGCATTAGGAACCCCACCATAAACAGGGGGCGATTTCAGATATTCAATAACGGTGAATCAACTCATGATGGCGTCCGTAAATTTTTCGAAGGGATGATTTCAACTTCACTACTCAGAACTGTTGGTTCAATAGCTTTCTTGTAAGCAACAACCCTCTATCTAGAAAATTACGATAGGATAGGAAGTGCAAGCCCTGGAATATCATATCAACTGGGAGATATATACTCCAAATGCAGGCCTGCTGTAATGTTGCTACAAAGAAAGGAAGCAGAAATCATCTCTTGTGTCGTAAAGTTTTGTTCTTTAGCGACCCTCATTGTAAATTTCTAGATGATAGTCAAGATATGATGTATACTTAACTGTACATCTTGTGTCCTTTATTTCAAGTTCAACATAGCTACCACACGTTGAACAGCGGAACGTAAAGTCAAGGGATAATGCTAGTTTCTTTCATTCTCCCTAAGAAGCCTTTGAATGAAGTCATCCTCATATAAATAAAAGAACAAGTCAACCAGAAGAGAAGCACGGTTTGTTCCGATTGTTTGTTTAAAAAGCACGTCCTCCAAACGTAACAAATATGTTGTCAATCAGGAAATCAAGCATCTTGATAGTGTCAGTTTCAGAGAATTTTCTGATTGACTCAGAGTGATTTTTTAAAGAGTAAATTTTATCCCCCCAGACAAAAGACTTGTATCTACGTTGACCATTCTGTTTCATAAAACAGAATAGGACGAATTCTTTTAATTTTTCTTTGTGTTTGAATTGGGGAAAACTTGTGTAAAGTAGAAAATTCAAATGTTTTATTACTATTGCAATTGGTAATAGTATTAGATTGTATGTACTCTAACAGATCTTTGGACTTTTAAGTATCAATATCTGATTCAAGCCGCCCCTAGAGTAGGTAGTTACCAAGTAAGTTTGAAGCCCGGCTTGGATTGCTGGTTAAATTGATGTTGAAAAATTAAGAAATAGGTTTCGTGGAGCACTTGGAAGACCCCGAAATATAAAGTTGTGTGTAAGGTCCCTTTTGTAATTTAGGTATCCAATACACTGAAGGAAGATCCAGTTCATCATCTCTGGTTAAATTCGGAACATAGAACCGACTTATGATTATTCAGGATTTCTTCCTTGGTAAGCGTCGTGGGTATTTGTGTCGAATTTCCAAGTGAAATGACAATACCTAATTCCTTAATCAAGCAGGTTATGTTATGTGATTTACACGCAAATATGATGTTGTGTGGAGATTTATCTGCGGGGACACCAGCATATTTGTCAAGGAGGTAGGACATCTGCTTAGCAACATTTTGGTCGTTAAAGATCAATGTATCATATGAATTTATAGACCCATTCAGATTTTAAATTCCAATCTGTATCAAGAACCTCACAGCCTTAGCCCATTCAAAAAGAGTATCTACGTCGCGTTTAGCTCATAATAATCGACTGAATTCATCAGAATTTAAAATTTGTGTTTCCAATTGATGGATTTAGGGTCATGATAGTTCGGGCCTTCGGATAACACTTTCCGAAAAGAAAAAATGTTTTAGCAATGTTCATGTCACCAGTAATAACGTAGCCAGCCGGATTATATATGAATGGGGAGCTAGCACAGGTGTGATCAGGAGGTTTAGACTTGGAGTCGTCAATATTGAGATCCCGCAGAACGTGTTTGAAATTGAAAATTAGTTTGATATATATATAAGAGATGATAGGTACAGACTGATTTTTAAGTAGGTAGGTATTCTCGAATGAAAGGATGTATGATGAAGGATATTGCCCAAAATTGATGGCACTGAGACATTTGGTCGAAAAGGAAAGTTTCAGAAAGGATCTTTTCTTCTTATCATCTTATCCAATGCAAACCGGTCTGAAAAATATGTGGCTGGCAATTTTGGATGATGCAAACTCGCATAGAACGGATTGATTGATCAAACTGATCAAAAATGCTGGTAAACAATGATATTTGTATTGTTGTTTTTGTCTAATCTAAGTCCAGAATACGTTTATTTAGCATTCTTTTCGTGGTACCGACATATACCAATTTGCAAAGGTTACACTCTAATCCGTAGACGAAATTTTTTTATTTACAATTCAGATCATTGTACCTTCTTGTATAATAAGATTTCAAAGTTAAATTGCTAGTAAATTGATCATCTGTTATTAAACTTTTACAGGCTTTGTAGTTTTTGGTTTTACATTTAGAAACGAGACATTGTTGTTCAGATTCATTAAAGTCTAAAATGTATTTTAATATAAGTGTATACACGGCCTGGTGCGAGGATGGTGGTTGTTATTGCCATTAGTATGATGATATAAAAGTGTTGTATTCGAGCTGGTGATAAGCCGAGGCCTGCCATTTTAGACAATACCGTGTCCGTCTTGACTTCTATTTAGGACATTTATATATTGGGCGAAGTCCGAGCCAATATTCTATTTGATCTTCGTAATTTCGTTGGTAACTTGCACCTCATAAAAAATTCATGGACAAAATAAATCCAATGGACTAAAATTTCACAATTATCCCTTAAAATGTAAATTGTCTGGTTCAAAGCGAAAATCGATTTTGACAATGAAATAATCATCGTAAAACACAAAATAACTCTTTAAATGTATAAATTTTCTTTGTTTTGACAGGGATATCAAGTAATAAAACAACAAAAGAGACTGCAGCAAACGACACGCAACTTTATGAATACACTTGTAAATGTAATAGCTCAAATACAGAGGACCATTTACCTTGTAATGAAACAATCCAAATGTACTATTCACATAAGGCTGTGTACTTGGGAGATCCTGAAAAGTATGCCAGAGATTCTTTTGAATGTGTATTGGTTGAAAGCGATGTGTTCGAGAAAACCACAACATCTTCTGACATTAAACCGAAGAGTCAGTATTTATATCATAATTCCAAAATTGTAATCGTATACTACGATATATTTGATTTTTTTCTGTATAAAAAAGACGTTGATCAAATGACACTGGCAAAGTATTTTTCTGCACACGAAAAAAAACCGAACAAATAAGACTGAAGATTATCGCATGTACATTTATTTTATCACTTTGAATGTCCCTTTGGTATCTTTGGCCTCTCATTTTAATTTATTCTATGGCTGCTTAATTCGCGAACATTCTCTAACCGATGAACGTTTTTTTTAAAGGAGTAGGGGCAATACGGTCCAACGATTTACAGAAAAGAGCGACGATTTACAGAAAAGAACCGAAAAGAACCGAAAAGGACCAAAAAGAACCGAAAAGGACCGAAAAGAACCGAAAAGAGCATACACATATTTATGATTTATTATATAAAGTTAAAACAATATATACACGGATTTTTTATATTGTTAACAATTCTTAATAAATGAATGCATAATTCAAATAGATTGTACATTTATAGGGATATGTGAGCTTACAAAAAAGAAACAATATAACTTGGTTTTTTAGTAATATTTTTTTAATATATGTATGCTTAAATATCATTTATTTTTCATCAAGGATTTTAATCTTATCATTTAAATATTTGTTTATATAGATATAAGAAGATGTGACAACTCTCCATCAAAAGTCATAATTTGTCACGAAAAGTAAACCTGCAATTCCTTCGATTACAAAAAAATCGATTTCCTTTTCGGTTCTTTTCGGTCCTTTTCGGTCCTTTTCGGTTCTTTTCTGTAAATCGTCGCTCTTTTCTGTAAGTCGTCGGACCCGGGGCAATAAGCTCTTATCTGCTTAGTTGCTATTTCCATAGAACATATTTTATTTGGAACAGACGAAATTAGTGTTGAACAAAACACAATCCTTTTCAGAAATATACATAGTTATATACGCCATACAAAACGATTCTTTGATTAATATTGATATATCTTAAAGTGTACTCGTATCCAACTGTTACTGTTTAAACATAGCATATTTATTGTATATATTTTCCATATTGTACTGAATTATATAATTGCTGTCATCTTGAAATTTTGTATATTGTACTTATTTGGAGAGGATTATTTTAAGTTGTTATAACTTGTATCCAATCCTATTGTATATTTAGGCAATAACATATGTTTAAACTATCTTATCTGGCCCAAATGTTACTTCAAATTTAAAAGTTATCATAAATGTTTTTAAATTTGTCCTTACTGGACTATGGTACAAGGTACTCAAAAAATAAAAACAAATTTTACATTTAACGAGTTACCATGGCAACAAACCATGACGAAATTTTTATATTTTGTAAAATTTCTTGAATTTCCTTGTTTTAAGTCAATATTTAAGTATATTTTGGTTTGGCAAAGTATGTGCGCACCCTAGAAACAACTTAAATTTTGGTGAGATTATGTCAATAGTTATAATAAAGCTTCTCTTAAATAAGTTTGTTGTTTTTTGGCTGCGCACGTTGTTTCCACAATGAAATTAACGATGGAAACTGCATAAATTCTGTATTTTTCATTGTTTTCACGAAAACGGTACATATTATGACGTAGATGTGACGTCATCAGATAAAAAATCTTAAGTTTTTCATTTATATTTCTCGACTCTGCATTTCTGAACAGTATGTGCCAATTTTTAATGCCCCTACTCCTTCGTATTTAAACAAAAAAAATGCATAATTTGATCAAAAAGGTACGAAAAAAAATATAACGGTTAAAAATGTAAAAGCCCACCACAAGCCGTGCCGGTGATTTTAGGTGCACTGGAAGGGTAGGCAGATATATGATAGAAAATATATTACTGATGCGTATACATCTTTTTGAAATGAAAATTAATATGTGAGACGACAACCTTCAACAAAATGGATTCTTTCAGTATTTCAAAATGGTTCGTTTAACGCAAAATGCATATGTGTACATGCGTTCATATTTGAAATGTAATTTTACAAGTACACACTGCTATATACTTGCAAATGAACAAAGAGTGAACACCTTATCTGAACTATTCAATTTGAATTAAACTTCAGGATTTAGTCAAGTATATACACTTATTGGCGTTTCCGTTGTTTGTGGAATGATTCTAGTCGGTGTACTTATCTGGGGCATCAGAAGAGGTTTGTATTTCATTGCCAATTTATTTTATTTATTTTTCACATTTATTTATTATTGAAAACCTAAGTAACCCAAAAAATAAGTAGAGTGTTTCTATTGAAATTTGGTTAATATACCCCTAGCGATTCTTCAATTTGTAACATATATATTGTTTTATCTATAAGTTTGTTTACAGACCAGTACACCTATTCGACAGTAAATAAATAGTACAAAATAATATCTAATAAATGCGGGAAAATGTAATGCTTTTTAAATAGGGAAATAGAGAGCAATTTAGGCACGGATGCTTGATGAGGTACTATACTTTGTATTGAAAATACAAATATGAATATATGGAGTGAGTATACATCAATGAGACAGCAACCATGAATCGCAAAAAAACCCATTAGAACTTTTTTGTTATTTTTTTGTGATTTAATTAATATTTTTTTTTTTATTTTACATTTTGAAATTTTACCTTTTGAGAGAAAATAGTGCAGCAATCTTTTCCACAAAACCCAGTGTTACAAATCTAATATTACATCAACAAAAGTAAAAGTGAATTAATTCAAATACTTTGAAAATTTCGTTAACATTTAACTTCCGACAATTTTGGAAACAAATAAAAATATAATGGTATGATTGTTCCGTATACTCAGCATTATACAGGTTCAAATATGTGAAGTTGTCAGAGATATATGATAATGATACATGTATATAATATTTTCAGCTTTGTATAAAGTCAAATATGTAAGTAGACCATAACACAAGTAACATGTTGAAAAAAGTTATTATCATATGAAATATGAAAGAATGTTTATTTTGGACCGTAATGCGGCGTTCACACAGTGCCGATAATGGTTCCCGTTTGAGATCAGACAGCGCTAAGACACGAAAAGTGAAATAGTCGGATTACTATCCTGAATGATCTGAAATGTCCTATCATTGTCTGAACGCAGTCGAATACGTTCGTAACAGATTCCTACGGATTGGGAATGGTCCGGAGAGGTCGGCCAAGCACCCCGACAGTTAGGTGCATCCCGTAACATTCGGGGAAACTCAGCTGATTTTGTGTAGTCGGATTACAATCGTGACTATGTCGTGACAGATTCTGCTGTATCGGATCAAAATCGTAACAATGTTCTGTGTTTTCTGGACGGTGTCCTGTAGAACGGGCATGATCTGGAGAATTTTGTCATTGCTGTTTTTTTGCAGAATGAGTCCAGATTGCATCCAGATCTTGCCGCATGCGAGCCGTCTTTGCCGAAACCGTTCCGGAACAGTCCCGTTATTAATACGAAATTCGGCAATGATACCCACGTCAGAGTCCCGACAATTATAGAACAAAATACAGACAAAGCCATTTGCTATGCGGTACAGCAGACTGGGATAGGATTGCGTTCCGACAGTACCTGATCATCCCGAATATGGCGACGGTTTTCTAACGGATATCTTCCGTCAGCGTCGGTTCACTGTCTGGTCACTGTCTGATCTCTGTCGGATCACATTCGGTTGAATCGGGACGCTGTCGGGACAGATTTGGTCGTTTTTAACCATGCGAAAGATACAAATTGGATTAGAATCGGATTGAGAAAGGGGATAATCGGGAAAAATTCGGTGGAAACGGCTGAATTAGGACGCTTCCTGAACAATATCTGATTGTTGTCGTGATTTAATAATTGTTTTTACAAATTTTAATTAAAGTTTGAACTTCTAGCCACGATTCACAGAATCTTGATCAGACTTTTGACAAATTTTAATCGGGAATGGTCCTGTCAAGGCCGTCTGTAAAAATCGTGAAGGTGTGACCCCGGCTTTAGTCTTTCTCAGTACTATAATTCGTCTGGAAATCACATCTTTGTCACCGACAATAATTAGAATTATTTCAATCAAAATTAATCATATTTTATACATCTAACTTTGGGTTGAAATCAATTGACTTATATACATGAGAAGTATAATTATATTAGTTCTCAAGACAACTAAATACATTAAATATAACGTACAAAAGCGAAATTAGAAAAGGTTCTATAACATAAATAAATTAAAGATTGAAAGCTTAAGAAATTTCAAAACTGAAATGCAAAGATTGATAGAGACTATCAACTCAAATATCTGTCATTAAGACCAAACTAGACAAACAAATTATAATTAAAAATCACATGCTACGATGCTTCTAACATTGGACAGGAACACGCAATATTGGATTTACAGAAAGAAAATGTCCGAAAGTGAAAACAAACATATAACAGAATTTATGAAAAAGGACTTAACTGTATTATGCAGGTGTTACGTAAAAAAAAACTAATATGCCTTACTAGTAAAACAATTCTGTAATATACAGTATTAAAGAATGCTTACTTTCATTATCTGCTTATATACAAATTATACACACCTACACTCCTAATTCAACTGCTTTACTTCGGAGTAGATTTATACAGCAGCGCCATGAACAGTGACAATGTCCATAGTACGATAAACAAAGAAGAAAAGTGTTGAGTGTTTATAACATTGGTAAACTGTTTTTGCCATTTATTAAGTTGTATTTTAAACTATAAATAAAAAAAATATTAATCTCCCAGAAAATGAAGGACTTGTTTTTCAGTTTGTAAAGTGTATCAGTTGTTTGCATATTCATGTGTTGAAATGTATATTCGTTTTCATATTTACCTAGAACGCTGATAACATTGCCAGACTGGACGAATCACACAACTGTCCAGCGGAGGGATATTCGTCTATTGACAGAAGACGTAGAATTGAAGTTGGGCAGATGGTTTCGTATAAAGCCAGTCGAGTCTCAAAATCAAGTATAGCAAATGAAAGTGGGCATGGACTAGGTATATTAGTTTCGTAAAAAAAACATTGCTTCCTTACTCTCGTTATGGTCATGGACAAAAAGTCTAGTATTTAATTTACCACTACCAGTGCATCCAACCGTCCAACAGGATTGCCATTATCACTTATCAGTGAATTACAAATTTACTATTAAAGTGTGTTGGAAATCACAAACTTAAGCATGCAAATAAAATGTTACAAAAAATAAATGAAGAAGTAGAATAAAAACCTCCAATCTAACGACGTCATTGACACAAACGCTATTCGTCGTCCTATAATTCTACAACCTAAAGCAATATAAAACAGAGCTTGTCTTATAGTAAGTTAGAGAAACTGCGATTGTTTGTGTGGATTAACGATATATGTGTCCTAGCAATGTAAAAATTCGTTGAGTGTAATTAAAAATTCTGTTCCGAAACCTTTCTTTCGTGATTTTACTTAAAATATTACCTTCAGTATTGTTTATTATAGTTTATGTACCAGAAGAAAGCTCAAATTGTAGAAGAGGTCCACAACCAGAAGAAACAAATGGAGACGACAATTTGCCAGTACCATATTTGAAAAACATAACTTCTGGACAAAAATTGGGTATATTTTGCTGTTATGATTAATACTTTCTGAATATAGAATGTCAGTTAACTAATTACACATGTATTCAATCTTTCTGAATTGTAACATCTAAATAAAAAAAAAATTATGAAAGCACACAAATTCGGGGTTTTGTTGAAAAATTTTTCTCATTCTGATTTAAAAGGGGACTCGGTGGCCGAGTGGTCTAAGTAGTCGAACTGCTGTATCACTAGCTAGCCTGTTAAGACTGAGGTTGAAAGTTCGATTCCCGCACGTTGCAGGTGCGTCCGACTCTAATCTTAATTGACTAGGATTGTCAGTTTTCCTACCGAAAGCCGGTGGTTCTCTCCGCCACCAATAAAGACTGACCGCCACGAAATAGCACAATAGTGTTGAAAGTGGCGTTAAACACCAATCAATAAAATCAAATCATTCTGATTTAACAATGCGTTTACCTATTGGTTCACTAAACACAGTAAGTATAAAAACATAAATGCAAATATACATACGTTTAAAACAGTATTTCAACCATCTTCACTTATTTCTTATTTCTTTGTGAAAAAATAAACGTACACACTATACATTGAAGCAGTACTAAAACGAAATATACGTTTTTTATCATTTTTATTGTTTACTGGGTGTTAAATGATCGTTATGAAGTTTTTTATGTAGTTCGATATATTTTCGAAAATTGATTCCAGTTTCGTAGAAAAGTTTGATAGTAAAGATCATGTAAAAACACCACACCCACACACTCACACACACAAAGAAAACAACCACCGAAAAGACTACCACTAATACACACTACACAACACAGATGTGAGAAACCATTGTTTAAGCACATTGAGTCACACCTTACACCGAAGGATGAGCAGTTGCTGCTAGTGGTGAAATTCTTAGGATGCGAGTTCACTATAAAAAATTACTATATAATAATCTAGTTTTGGATGTAACAAGTCTTCTGATTGGCTGAAAGTTTTTGTCTATCAGCTCATAGACATAACTTTGTAATGTGACCGTGACGTCATCAACGGTTTTTCCTGATTTACTCCTTAAAACTGTAATTTAGAATTAAATAATAAGAACTGACTGTAATATTATTTCTGTCTATTCGAAATAACCTAAAAAATTCGGTGCACACTTTTAATAACCCCGTGTAGTAGCGGGTTATATAGTGTGCACCACATTTTTGATGTTATTTCTTCATGGGCAGAACAAATTTTACAGCCATTCCTTTAATATATAATATTTCTTTAAAACGAACTCTAAAAAGAGTAAACTGGTTTATGAATGTTTCATAAATCATGTTGCTATATACATTGTCTGTGATTCTGTTTAAATGTGGAGTGAAACAAACTATTTGTAGAACACAGAAACACCTATCCTAAACTATATTGAAGTGGAGTTTAACACCGATACCGTTAGCCCGAAGTTTCATATACATGGATCTGAAAATGGAACACCATATGCCAACACCGATCATACATTAAAAGCTGATCCTCTACCAGAGAGTGACTCTAGTGAGGAGGAAGACCCGGATAATAATAGTGAATTTTTTGACACTTGCTAATATTCAAAAACTTGACAAACCTGTTTGAAAACTTCCTGTCTAATAAACTGAGCATTGTACATATTTTTAATTTTAATAATTGAGAATATAACTACTTTACGCAGAATTGAATGCTGATTTTTTTAAAAATTAAAAATGAAAGAAGTGAGCGTCACAATTTGCATGAAGCGTGGTAGCGTTATTTACTAAAACTATGGTGGACATTTGCTTTGATTTCGCAATGAAGATATCGATTGTTATATCATGGTTTAGCTGAATAAATATTGTTTTTTACTAATAAAATTTGAGATTTTGAAATAAGATTAAATGTCTGCACGAATTGCACGAACAATGCGAAAAAAAGTGTTGATTTATTAGAAGGGTGGAGCTAATAATTCTATTATATCTAAGGTTGCTTTCTTACGGCATTGGTAATTTTCATACGGCATAGATTATTTTCATACAGCATAGGTCATGTAGGTTGTTTCATACAAAATGAAAACATATGACGGAATCAAGTGATTGATTTTTTAGCCAACAAAAGATCAGGAATTGTATGAGCTGAACACCTAGAATGAATTTAAAGCAATGCAAAACGATATATATATAGATATCATATATATATATATATATATATATAATCTTTATAACATTATTTACTTCTTTAGTAGTTTAATTTGTATATAAAAGCATTGTGGTTAAAAGCACAAACAGACATGAGCCAAGGCTCTGTGTTGAAGGCCGCACTTTGACCTATAATGGTTTACTTTTACAAATTGTGGCTTGGATGGAGAGTTGTCTCATTGGCACTCATACCACATCTTCTTATATCTATTGTTGTCTGAAAATACAATTATGGAATCGTTATATGAAACATAAATGTTATATTATTATTTCTATGCAGTTTTATAGAAAGATACATTTGTGACAGGTCAAGTTATATTCTACGTTCTTCTGACATTTACCGAAAGTTTCTTTCTTATATGGTGGTATGGGTGTTTTCCGCCACCATGAATTGTAAAATAGCAGAATATTTTTGCCTGAATTTGATTTTATTTCAACTTTATGTATGAAGGTGAGGTAACTCAGAAATAGAGCAGATTATAAAGGAATCTACAGGAAATGTTCTATTTTATGTTTATGCTACACGAAATAAACGTACGGTGATTTTTTTACTATTCTGAAAGAGTTATCTTATCAAAATTCTATCATTTAGTTTTTCTCCTATTCACATTATGATGCTTTTTTTTCTGTATAATCTATACAAAATGTGTATTTTTCCAACCAGCTTAAAAACAAGCTCGGTGACTTCATTTTGACAAAGTATGCAAGACATTCTCCCCTTCTCCCCCCTCCCAAAAAAAAACCAATAAAAAAAAAGAAACACAAGAATACAGAAATTTTGGCAATGGTATTATCGTCTCTTGTAGCTTTCATTTACAGAATATGTGCTTTATATTCACAGAATATTTACAATGTTGTATGTTACATGTATATTTTCTATCTAAATTTGCCAAAACTATGAATTATAGTCTGAGGAAAACTATCGTGGTGTCATCTTCACGTACGACAATTTAGGAATAAAACATTAAGGGCTTTCAAAGACCTAGGTTTAAAAGGTCGTTAAATTAGAATTTACCGCGCTTTATTATTCTAACCGGCCAACAACATAATGCCTTAGAAGACAATCAAAAGAATTCAGAAAATAAAATATAAAAGTACTCGAATCCAAGATGAAACGGTGGGTGAATTCAGATCTGGAAGGGTTATTAGTTCATACTTTGAACATGATCGACATAAATTGAAATTTTTTTAAAAATGTGATATTTGTTAAAAAAAATCTATCACAAGAATTGTTTTTCTTTAAGATTTATTTGATAATGAACCTGAACTCAGATTTTGATAGGTGTAAATTAATCGTATTTTACTGAGAAAAGACAGAATCACCTGACCCCTACTCTTTTCTTATCATTAAAACAGAAAAAGGAACTACATAAAACTTTAATGACACTTTTAGATCTTTGGATGATATATTGGCTCTCAATAATGACGAATTCAGTATGTACACTAAAGAGATTTATCCTGCTGAACTGACTTAAAAAAAGCTAATACTAACAATGAACAATGTCCTTCCCTGGATCTTGATATCTATATCTTTAACAGGAAGCTTAATACTAAAATTTACAAGAAAAGAGATGATTTTTCATTTCATATTGTTAATTATCCATTTTTAGATGGTGACGTTCCCTTGGTACCATCTTATGGTGTTTATATATATTCCAACTTGTTCGATTCGCTCGTGTATGTAACAACGTATTTGATTTTAACGAAAGAAATCTCTGTATTACTGAAAAATTATTACACCAAGATTTTCGATATCACAAACTTGTCAAAACATTTACTACGTTTTATCATCGGTACAAGGACGTTATTCGTAAATATAAATCATGCAACGTGCAGACATCTTATACGTTCAGGTATTTCACATCCCATCTTGTATGGTAATATTCTATTCAAAGCACAAAAATGTCGTCATTCACCTCAAAAGCTAACCAAGCCTTTAAACAGACTTATTAAGGAGGGATAAAGTAACAATAATGTTTTCAGGTTTAAAGATAGCATTTTTTGAAATTAATATTAATTCATTTATAGTTTCTTTACATTGGAAATAAACACATTTATTCTAAAACCAGTGTTAGCATGATACGAATTATTTTCCTCTCGTATATTTTATGATAGTATGATACTAAACCACTAAAGGAAGGGATTGTGCTTGATTTTCATATGATCAAGACATAATCTTTCAATCAGTTTAATTGAGATCTGGAGCTGCCATGTCACCAGGGGTTTTGGTTTAACAAAAAACACCTTCGAGTGCCTTCCACATTTCACAAAGTTGTCAATTTCATTAACACCTGTTAGCATATTTTGAGCTGATAAAGGTTATGACCCTTAAATTCATCCAATCATCTTCTGAGATCACCGGCAACCACACGTTGATTACATATAGATTCTACCACTGCATCGAGTGTGATACGATATTTATCCAATCGAGACAGTTAAATTTTCAAATTTAAAACGCGAGGCTCGCCGAGCGTTTTAAATATTTAAAATTTAACTGTCGAGAGTGGATAAATATCGTATTACACGAGGTTTGGTGGTGAAATCTGTTTCTCTAATGATTTTCAAACAATACGCAGGCAAACTTATTCCTTCTTTGCGACTGATCTGCAAAATATGTGTTCTTTCTATGTGACGTCATCAGGCATGGTCGCCTTTTTTCATGCCGTCACAATAGGAAATTCAGAGAAAAACAAGAAAATTCGACGTCATAATCGGATTTTAACCAATGAAGAACTGAGATCAAACGAATCACACGTTGATTAAATTTTTTTTATACAATGGGTGCAGAAAGGGATAAATTGACGAAGAATTAGAGAATTTTTTTTATACAATGAGTGCAGAAAGGTATAAATTGTCAAAGAATTAGAGAAAAATGATTATAGAAATAATAAGTATGAAAAAAATAATTATAATCATTCTTATTATTTAGGAATATTTCATTTATTTGTTATAATGACCATGAAATTACATATGAAAAGAAATTTAAATCCGAGTTGATAATTTGTTTAAATTTAGTTTGTATATATTATTTTACCTCCTATAGATTTATAGAGATATGATTGATTATAGGACTACACGTGGTGACTATGTATATTTGGTATAGGGTGCCCTAAAAAATACATGGTTAGTTACCATATAGGGTTAGCAACCATATGGGGTTAGTAAGGAGTTACTTCCCTTTCAAAACAATAAAGATGCACAACCCTTTATAACATAAAAACAACACGGTGTTGAGGAAAAATCTGATTCAACAAACGAAGAAATTGATGATGAAAGGTTGAAAAAAGTTCATAAAACATAATTAAAGCTAACAAGTTGTTATTGTTGGCATAACGGAGTTACTTCCCTTTCAAAACAAAAAAAAGAAATCTGAAAGGTTTTAACAGACGAAGAAATTGATACATGTAATGAACGATTGAAATAAATTCATAAAACAAATTTAAAGCTAAAAAGTTGTTATTGTTGGCATTTGTGTTTTGTATAGACAAATGGAAGTAGGATCTACTAAGTATTGAAGACTTGCACTTTGAAAGGCCGCTAGTCAAAATACCACGTGTGAAGATGTCGGTAAGATAAATTCGTTACACGGTGTGCTAGTGACCTAATACAGTATATAAGGGGTCAGTAAATTCCATATGGGGATTCGAGCTTCGCTCTCACCCCATATGGAATTTACTGACCCCATATATATATCGTATTAGGTCACTAACACACAATGTAACTAATATTATAATATACATATATATATAAGTCTAAACTGAAAACAACGTTAAAACCTATGATTGCGTTGGATAAAAACCGCAATTTTTATACGTGTGCTTGCAAAACAAATGTCTTGGTAGAGGGGTCTAAATACAACACAAACAACATTTTCCAAAAGACCAAATGAGTGAAAAAGTATATTTAAACAAAACGCATTTGACTAGCAGGTCGAACAACTGATGTTCTTAAACCCTGCTGACTGCCATTGGCGATTGCCAAATAAACGGATCACGGATCACAAGATGTAGCAAAAAAGATCTTATTATTAATTTATTACCAAACAGAAAACAATAAACTTGCTAAAAAGATGGAATATCGCAAACATGAGGTGCAAATATTTGTATACACCATATCCGGATTTCGACAATTAATGTCTCTTCAGTGATGTTAGGGATCGAAACGGTATTTGGAAGGCCATATAATTTACCTCAATTTAGGATACACTCTTGAATTTTAAAGAGTCGAAATAGGATGAACGGATCATATAAACCCGAAGGAAAATATGATACAAGCCCAAATGAAAAAATATAAACAAGTCTAAATTGAAAACAACGTTCAAACCTATAATTGCTTTGGATAAAAACCGCAATTTTTATACGTGTGCATGTAAAACAAATTTCTTGGTAGAGGGGTCAAAATACAGCACAAACAACATTTTCCAAAAGACCAAAAAGTGAAAAGTATATTTTAACAAAACGCATTTGACTAACAGGTCGAACAACTGATGTTCTTAAACCCTGCTGACTGCCATTGTCGATTGCCAAATAAATTGATCACCAGATGTAACATGGATCTTAATTATTAATTTAATACCAAACAGAAAACAAAAAACTTGCAAAAAAGATGGAATATATATATAAATTATAGAACTTCCTGTTCATGTATTATCATACATGTACATGCAGTGTCATTTAATTGTGAATACTTGTAAGATTTGGTACATTGATTACCCGCTTAAACAAAATACCCGTGCAAATATGTTAATAAGCTACTATTTAAGGAATGAAATAATAAATATGTATTTTTTATACATAATCATGAGTAAGAAAAGGAGCCCAACTTTAACGTCGGAGGAGATTTAGGTTTTAATTAAAAAAAATGGAGATGACTAAATCTTTACTTGTTATCAGACTGAGTAACACAACAACAAACAGTGACAAAAAGAGGGCATTGGAGGCTGCGTGTGCAAATATAAATGCTGTAAAAGATGTTGTAACTATTATGATATTCGTAAGACCATCATAAGTCATGTCGCGAGGTGTCTTAAGTTTACGATAAAAGTTATAACATATCGTAACTTGGGAGACTTTCGAAAACATATTTTACGACTACGACATGTCATAAGACCATCGCAAGACATGCTTAGTCATAAGATATTTTCGAAAACCAGGCCCCTGTATTGGTACAATCCACACGCTTGCGATTTTGCGTGTGTCTTCTAGTTCTAAAAATGAATGTATTATAATCCCCAATGAAAAAAAACCTTGTTAAACAAAATAACGCTTCTAAAGACCACCCTACATCATAAACTGATTGACTAGTGTTCAAACAATTTTGCAAACTCAAAAATGGAAAATCCATATTCTTTAGATAAACCACATACAGACAATATCAATTTATTGAAATTCAATGAATAGTTCATCTTCATTTGAAAGCTTTGCTTCTTTTTTTATCGACCTCTTACGTTTGCACTGGCATCTCTGCGTGTATTTCCAAACTACAAATAAAGCAATAAGAATATTTTTATATAGCAGTTTGACAACTTCCTATATTGCGGATTATACCTCTTAAATTTTTTAACTGAATTAAATGCTTCTCATATTTGTAATAGTTGCATTACATTTAAGTTATAAATACATGAAACACAAAACTACAATATATCGTACCCCAACCGGCAACAAATTCCTTGCCAAAGTTGCCATCCGTTTGGTTGTGCGGGATGCATAAATACGGGGTCACGTCCGGACAGAATGGGGACATTGAATCCGATGCCTCTAGTAGAGAGAGTGCCACGCTTTCTGTACATTAAGACCCATTGCAACAACTCTCTGAGAGGTCTGTATGTGGTCTGTTGCAAGGCTGAATGTCTGTTCCTATCCAATATATCTATTTTCTGTTGAATCCGAAATACCCGTCTTGTTTTCCCGAACGACCCCTTATTGGAGAACCTAATTAATTTATATATTGTAAAGTTGTTCCTGTCCTGCATAAAATATTTGCCACCAAAAACAACTATCAATCAATCAATCAACAATATATCAAATTTAATAAAAAGAGTTTGACTTTACTTTTTTCAATCAAAGTAACCCATTCCTCTTTTGGAACACACATCAATATTTTTTTTTATATATACAAAGGTGTCATTCGGTAAATCGCGGACTTAGTCCGTTGATTAACATTTGCACTCAGCTACAGAGGAGAAAAGTCAGTTGAAAGAGTAGGCTACTGGTCCGTTGTGAGTAATTTTTAAAACTACAAATTTTAAATTTTGTTACAACTTTTCTCGAAATCATATTGTTTTACAAAATAGTATTACGTATCCAGCAAAATGATTAAGCATTACAAAAAGATAGACGGAAAATTCGTGAGACAAATGTGTGTAATATCAGAAAAAATCGTAAAGGCGACAAGCGACTCCTTCACATCTTCATCACTATGTTTCATAAAACTTGTGATAAGAATTAACGAGGTTGAAAGTTGCAGGAAAATTTACACCCCCCCCCTCAAAAAAAAAGAAAAAAGAAAGAAAACCAACAAACAAAAAAAAACAAACAAACAAACAAACAAAAAATAAACGTGACAAGAGCATTACATAAACTTAATGTAATGCGTATTTACGTGAAATTATATCCTGTCGAAATAATGCAAAATACTATATAGATTCAAAAAACTACACATAAACTGTCTGTTGATGAGAAATTTACTTTTTACTACCTTTTGTAAAAGTGATGTTTCTAACAATTTCATATTACGTCGTGTTTTAGGTGATCAAATCAGTCAAACAATACTCTGTGAGATTCATTTTACGTCAAAGACGTTTCTTTCGTTGGTCGTCTGTACGAAGATGTTTAATTTGATGTATAATTCATACGAATCAATGAAGTCCCTACCCCAGTCTCCTATCTTACCGTGAAAACTTAGTGTCATAAATGACCAAAAGTAAGTCAACTAGGAAAACAAATTTTTTTCTAATATGATTATACCACCTCTATTATTTCGGTATTGGCAGTGTTGCGAATTACATAAAAATTCAAACTGTAAGTCGTTCTGTTTGTCCGTTTAAGTCTGAGTATGTAAATGTTTTATCCTATGCCCCTAAGTTTGCGAAATCCTGACGACGAACACTCTGGTTTAGAAGGAATATCAGCTGAAAGATACACGTTTCCACGTGTTCGCTTTTATCAGATCATACATGTATTCTTAGAAGTTTATATCAGGGAAGAGGATAAATAGTTAACAACCAGGAAAGTAATCATCACACATTTTACTCTTAATGGACCAATTAACGGACCGAGCTATAGTCTCACCAAATATAACTATTTCAAAACTAATTTGCATATTACATGTGGAAATGTTAATCAATGACAACTAATAGTTTCATTTTTCACTCGATTGTGACCTCACTGAATTTTTACTTACCATGAGCATCACGACGGGTTACCCATGTGAAGCAGGATATGCTTACTTGTTCGATACACCTGATGTTAACCACGGGTTTTGGTGGGGTCTGTGTTGCTCAGATTTAGTTTCTTATGTATGTTTTGAAGAAAAGAGGCGAAAGATACCAAAGGAATATTCAAACTTATAAGTGGAAAACAAACTGACAATGCCACGGCGTTGTAGACTGTTATATATTTTTCGTCGTTTCTCTCCCTTTTTTGCCACAATTTTGTTGGTTACTCTTCGATATATGAGTTTTTATAATCCTGGAAGTGTAACACGCCTTCATTTATTCCTCTTTATGCCCGAATCTTAACATATTGTATTGTGAAAGTGAGATACAAACACCGTTATAACTTTGTCAGATGTAAATTTCATAATGAAATATGATGCACACATTTTTATACTATAATAATTGAAGCTGATATTATAACTTCAGATCAACGGACTTTTCTTCTATGTAATACTATACAAATGTAGATCAACAGACTCTAAATATATTGACCTATTTGAAATAGAAAACAACAAAAGTTCATGTCGAAGTTTTACGCAACCCATTTATTTAAAAGCGTCACATTTGGAGAATTAACAAAATATTAAACTTAAAAGTTTTATTCGTGTAAATAGGAATAACTTAGAATTTCTGACTATAGTACGAACACCGCATACAAACATACCTTTACTAAATATTTAGTACTTACCTATTATAACAATAATGAAAATAGTTATAAGCAATAAAGCTACAGCAATCAATGCAATTTTCAATGTTGGAAATTTGGTGGCTTGTGAGTCTTTTTTTGGAACATGTGTTCTTGTTGCATTATTCAGAAGTAGTGGTATACTCTCGTAAACTAAAAGAAATAATACATTTGAATGCATCCATATATTAGCCTATGTTTGTTGTTCGTAATATAAAATAAAAAGTTAAGAATATATTGTTGTGTATAGAGAGTACCATATTATTAGTTACTCTTAGACATAACTGATTAGTTAATCCCTTTTCAACTGATGTTTATAGTTTGTTCTTATGTTGTACTGTTACACCACTATACCAGATTAGGGGGGGAGGGTTTGGCGTCAACAAACTAGTTTAACCCCGCCACATTCTGTATGTGCCTGTCCCAAGTCAGGAACCCGTAAGTCAGTGGTTGTGGCTTGTTAGTATATATTATATTTGTTTTTCGTTCATTGTTTTGTACATACATCAGGCCGTTAGTTTTCTCGTTTGAATTGTTTTACATTTGTTATTTCGGAGCCTTTTATAGCTGACTATGCGGTATGGGTTTAACTCATTGTTGAAGGCCGTACGGTGACCTATAGTAAACTGTTGTAAACTTCTATGACAATTGGTCTCTAGTGGAGAGTTGTCTCATTGGCAATCATACCACATCTTCCTATTTTTTTATAGCCAATATCATAAAATAAATAATAAAAATAATTTTGCAGCGTTTTGGAGGCAAAAATATACCATAGGCAGTCTTAAGACGAAACAACTAAAATGCATAACTGTGCATGATATTATTGTATATAAGGTTAATAATCACAATATTATTTTACTGATTTGATTGTACCCCTAATACCTACCACATTATTAGGGAAATGAAACTTTACTATAAATCTGCCGAAAAAAATCTATTTGTTATTTCGAAATTTCCACACAAATATTAACACACGAGTAATATCCTAAGCCTGCAAGGTATTTCTTAGCTTTGTACGGTGAATAATCAAACACCGTTTAAATAATTGTGGTCATATTTTAATAAATAAAGGGGAGGGGGCAATGGGAGACTAAATAACAATGATTTATCACCTATGAATTTTGTCGCGAATGCAGAAGCGTGACTAAAAATAGCGTGTTGTTTCCCGCGGCGTTGAAGGTTTCACCAATTGTTCCAGTTCGTGTTCGTGAGTAGGTCAAACATGCGAGCCATGTCTGTGTAAACCATCTGTAAGTGATAGTCAATCATCATATCAATATTGTAAACTCTGCAGTGTTCTGGTGTTAATACTTGAGACTGAGTCTAGTAGAGGACATTTGAATCTGCCAACATTACCAACATTGGCTATTTGACAAAAAGGAAAAGTAGAAAAAAACATTGACAAAGGATCTGTTTAAATCGTTTTCATTCAAAAAATAAAAATAAAATAAAATATGGTCAGGGATGAAAACTGAATACATTGGCAAATATGAAGACGTCTCCGCTCAGTTAAAGAACACTAGAAAAAACCCGCGCGGCTTCAAGACTACTTGAAATGTTTATGGTGATACACAGTTTGGGTTCGTGTTTCTCAAACTGTTTTTATGCACTGATGCATTATGTTGATAGTTTTTATTAGTTTGTCAGTTCTTCTTCCATAGGAGTTTGAATGTCCAGTTAGTAGCTTCTGTCTCGGTGTTACACAGGTGCTCCTAGAACGGAGGAAATAACTCAGAGAAGAAGAAGACAACCTAGAACACTGATGATTAAAACATTTCTCAGTGGTGCTAGTTTGAAGTACTAGTATTTCTTTTTTTTTTCGAAAGGTGCGAGTCAAGTTCTGTCTCTGTGTGATACGGGTGCTCCAAGAACGGAGGAAATAACTCAGAGAAGAAGAAGACAATCTAGAACTCTCTGATGATTTAAAACATTTCTTCAGTGGTGCGAGTTTGTAGTATTTTTTTTTCGAGTGGTACGAATACTGTCTCTGTGTGACACGGGTGCTACGAGAAAGGATGAATTTACTAAGAGAAGAAAAAAACAATCTAATGATTAAACACATTTCTTCGAGTTTGTTATATTTCTTTTTTTTTTGAGTGGTGGGAGTTTGATAAAGTGATGCAAGTTGTAATAATTAGTGAGAGTGTTTGAGTGGTGCGAGTTGGCCGTGGGGCGAGTTGTCGGGCAGTACGTCGACTGAGCATGCACGAAAGCGTATAAGACACGGATCGATAACGGTCTCCGAATTTGGATATTTTCTCAAAAAATGGCGTTTTCTGTGGAAAAAAGATTGTTTCAAAGACAAATGTAGGAAGTACAAAACACTGCATTTATACGTCATATTACAAATATTCCAGACTTTGTATGGTTTCAGAGGAGTTGCGGCTCAATGAAATCGGTCTCTTCCTTTAGTAGTATAGATGCTTAATGTACAATCAAAATACACAATAATAAAGAGGACATTTAAAAAGAGAGGCGAAAGATACCAGAGGGACATTCAAGGTCATAAGACGAAACTAGACTGCCAACGCCATTGCTAAAAATGAAAAAGACCAACAGACAAACAATAGTACACAAAATACAACATAGAAAACTAAAGACTGAGCAACACGAACTCCACCAAAAGCTAGTGGTGATTATCGCCATGAAACACCTTCGAGGATTATTTTCCCCATTGTTCTCCTACAAGTCAAAATTTTCAAACATATTCTTTTTTGTATTCTATTCTCAAAAGCCAGTTTGATTCTAATAGTGTACTCTAATATTGTGCTGTTACACAACTGTCCCAAGTTCGGAGAGGGTTAAGTTCTCATAACTATGTTTAACCGCGACACGTACAGTCTTTATGTGACTGTTTCAAGTTATCAGCTTTTAACTAGTGATTGTCGCTGGTTGCTGTATGAATTATTTGTTTTTCGCAATTTTTTAGCTTAAATCAGGCCGATGATTTTGAATCGGTTAACATTTTTCATGCCGGGTCCTCTTAAGCTTATTACACGGTATGGGTTTTGCTCATTGTTGGAGGACTTACACCACCCAATTGCTTTTTGTATCCTCATCCTTTGGTCTCTGATGGATACTGTCGCATTCAAGCCCATGATTTTATCAAATGATATGATTAAATCAGTCCAAAGAGTGACAATATCAAATGTCTGATTCCTTCCTCCTGATACTTTATATTTACTAATTAAAACGGATTGCGTTAGTATCAATTAAGTACGTAGATTGAAAATCAGAAATGTCATCAATATTGACAAAATTCCATCATGACTGAGATAGGAATTTCAAATATGATTTCTTGTACCTGCATAACAATTTCTATGATTGCTAGTACTTGGTATAATCGTTTTATAAAGGTGCTGTGAACTGGCTGCTTTTGTATTGGCACTGGTAAAACTTCAATACAAAAAATGTTTTGAAACCGGGATAATTAGCCAATTTTAGAGTGAAGGACGACATGACTTTTTTATCACTGATTTTGTATCGTATTCATCTTGTCCGTCCGTTCTTCCAATATATATTGTTGTCACATATTTTTTATGTATCACTTATTCGTTTGATAGTGTTAGCACTTTGTAGGATCCATAGTATCTGTTTGCCGATATTTTAACGAATCTAATCTTTTTGTCACACGTTTATGAAGTATTTGTGATCAAAATGATTTTAATATTTGGTTAGCAGATTAACAGTGTTGACTCGCAAAACGTGTAAAATTGTTTATTTTTTGACAGTCAAATACTTCTTCTTTGCTGAATTTATGAATACGTTGAATGCATTTACTATTTTCGTCACACGTTTTATAAGTACCTCTGAAAAGAAGAACTCTATACGTGGCCTGCAGCTTGACAGTGATGAATTATCAAACACTTTTTTTCTATTTCCGATACTTTAATCTATGGATTGGAGCATGCTTAGCACATCAAGGACTGCAAATTCTTGCTGAGCTTGCTTTCGGCTACTATTATAATGTTTTGGTACGATAATATACAATTATTGACTTTTGGTGAGGTTGATACAATGATTTATCAACCCCAGAAATATAATATTCACCAAGGCCAACGGCAGAGGGTGAATGTCTTATCTATGGGGTTAATAAGGCATACGGAGTATATATCTCCCAATTGATACGATATTCCCGGGCTTGTGTTTCCTATCATGATTTCCTTGATAGAGGATTGGCTGCTCACAAGGAAGCTATTAAACCAAGAGTTCCAAATGGTGAAGTTGAATTCATCCCTTCGTAAATTTTATGGACGCCATCACGAGTTGGTTGACCGTTATGGAATAACCGTTTCACAGATGATATCGGATATGTTCCTTATGTCGTAACTACAATACTCTTCCCTTTTCACGAATGTGACTTACCGAATTAGACTATTTACCGGATTTGTAATAACATAAGCAACTGGACGGGTGCCACAGGTGGAGCAGGATCTGCTTACCCTTCCGGAGCACCTGAGATCACCCCCAGTTTTTGGTGGGGTTCGTGTTGCTTAGTCTTTAGTTTTCTGTGTTGTGTCATCTGTACTATTATTTGTCTGTTTGTCTTTTTATTTTTGGCCATGACGTTGTCAGTTTGTTTTCGATCTATGAGTTTGACTGTCCCTCTGGTATCTTTCGTCCCTCTTTCATTGTATCAACTGATATCAAAAGTCAACAATTGTTTTATTATATTACTTTAAAATCCGTCCACAATTTTTTGTATTAAGATAAGTTAAGATATTTAACTGCTCGTTTTATACTAAACATTTCTAAATGTGTTATCTGCTTTGGCAGTTGCTAAACTTTTATAAGTTGAAATATTCAATAAGATTGATTAAAAACAATAACCTCGAAAAAACGGAGAAGAAAAATGAGAATGTGCATGCTGTAATAAGCCTGTGTTATGGACGTTGCCTATTAAAGAAAATATTTATAGGTACACGTTAGCTGTTCCAAATCTTAAATTAACCTCTCGTGATTTTTCCAGCGGTAAATAAAACGTTTCGTCAAGGAAGATTCCCTACTTTTTTAGCCAAGGAGAAAAGGGAATTTGTATAGTCATATAATAAATGGATTTATCCTATAGGGAATTTGGTTTTGATGGAAGATCTTTAATAGCATGTTGAATTTATTTTTCTGTATATGGGACAATTCAGAGCATGAGATATTACATGTGACTTGTTAACTAGTAAAGCTTGTATGTTGACCATTAATATTTTTTCTTTTTTTTTCTGTTTTTTAAATATTGTCTCGTTGCTGTATACACATTTCGTGTTTATTCATAATTGTTATCACAATAGTAGACGATTCAAATATTATCAGTAGTTTTTATCCTATATCGATTAGAATATTCTGTTAAAAAGGAGGGATTCGACTTACCTTATCTAAATGACGTGTTTCAGCTGTCACAGAAACATCCTAATTTGCATAATCAGTTTACATTATTGTTTTATGGTGATTGCAACCGACATTGAGATTTTTAAATATTTTTTCTAATATCATCAGCCAAAAGATGAACACCTATAGAACATAACATACCTAAACATTCATACGTTTCATTTCCTTTGAATATCACGTGTTCAGTTACATGTTCAAATGTGCACTTGAGCTCTGGCTGCTTATTACAGTCTTTTTCTTCAAACGTGTATGAGGCATTATACGTAATGCTATACACAAACCCATTGGTTTTGTACGTTACAGGAACTATTTTCAAGATAAGGCTGTTCTGTAAATAAAACGCATCAGTATAATGATAAAATATATTATCATATTTTTTATTTATTCGATTAGTTCACCGATTGAAATTTTATTTCATAAACATAGTAGCAACGCAAGCTACTGTGATACACGAATCTGCAGATTTGAACACAATAGAGTGTTAACACAATATACTTTTGTCATACTACATGATTCAATGATTAAAAGGCTTCATATAAAGTAATATATGACAGAAGACTTAAAACATGCCATATACGCAATTACGAACGCGATGAAACAAAAACTCAGATGCATAAAAGGAACATGTAATATTTTAAAACAAGTTCTGCTATGTACATTTTCTTCTTCCAAAGGAGGAGGGTTTGATACATTAAAAATAAGTTTAACTCTTTCACTTTAACTTGGACATTGTAACGAAAAACCAGGACCAAATGGCAATGAAACAAATTTTAAATAATAACATAGGTCATTTTTATTCAACAACAATATTTTCCGTAGTCGTTGATATATGGTATTTTACTGCTGGTAAATTTGAAAATTAACGATAAAGAAATATAAATCATAGTTTCTTTTTAAGAATCATAATTTTTTATTGGTCTACGTATGTCAATTCCTAGAAAAAAAATTAGATTTCAAGCGAACCATTGTCTATATTTTTATACATCTGTTTTATTATAAATGTAATTTACTATGATGTAAGCACGTACTGGAACTGACAGATTTAACAGACGCAAAATAAAGTTACAAAACATACATGCATCTAAACGATTTTGAAATACTTTTTCTATTTGTATTTACAATAAAGATAAAAGAACAAAGTTCCAATGTCTCCCGCGTTGCACATATTTTATCTATCCAAGGTACAATGACAATAACTTAAAAAGCACTTTTTTTTTCTTTTTATTAAATTAAATATCTTGAGAGAAATGAAGGCTGCAGAGCAAATGCAATGTGATTTCCTTTATAATTTATATTTCCAAGGGCATAACTCGTTAGAAATATTTGATCAGCACTTATTTTCGAAAGTGTCAAAGACATTGCTGATATAAACCTATGATATAAGTTTTAAAAATAGGCAAGAATTGAACAAATGAGAGCGCTAACGATGCAATTTTCCATAAAATTAATGTTTCCAAGGGGCATAACTCTTTTAAAAATAATTGATCGGCACTGATTTTCGAACTCGTCGAAGACATTGCTAATATTAATATATAATATAACTTTCATAAAAATCTGACAAGAATTGTACAAATGAAAGCGCTAACGATGCAATTTTCAGGCCATAAAATTAATGTTTTCAAGGAGCATAACTCTTTTAAAAAAAATTGATCGGCATGGATTTTCGAACTCGTCCAAGACATTGCTAATGTAAACCTATGATATAAGTTTCAAAAAACATCTGGCAAGAATTGTACAAATGAGAGCTCTAAAAATGCAATTTTCGATATAATAAATGTTTCCAAGGGGCATAACTCTTTTAAAAATAATTGACCGGCACTGATTTTCGAACTCGTCCAAGACATTGCTATTATAAACCTATGATGTAAGTTTCATAAAATTCTGGCAAGAATTGTACACACGAGAGCGCTAACGGTGCAATTTTCCATAAACTTAATGTGTCCAAGGAGCATAACTCTTTTCAAAATAATTGATCGGCACTGATTTTCGAACTTGTCCAAGACATGATTGTTGATATAAACCTATGATATAAGTGTCATAAAAATCAGGCAAGAATTGTATACGTGAGAGCGCTAACATGACCGGACGGACGGACGCATAGACGGACGGACGGACACCCGTATTTCCATAATAAACTGTTCCACCTGGCGTATAGATCGTGCGGTTATTACGGCCACACTTCCAATAGAATCTTGACGGGCTATGTTAAAAGGTAGTCGGCAATCAAATTCAACCGTGTTCAATTTCACTATCATGGCTTTTGATGTACCTATTTTTTGAAATGAATGTTATTGTTAAACTTTGACATTTTATCTCGATTGAGGACAAGAAAATATTTTTGCCATTTATCAAATTATAGATATGCACTATATAGGTCACTAAGAATAGTAAAAGAAGATTATAACCGAATACAATATTGTTGGTTCATCGTTGGAGGCCGTACGGTAATTATTCCCAAATATGTTTTTTGGTCTTAATGGATAACTGTTTTATTGGCAATCATGCCATATCTCCTTTTCTCTATGTGTCTACTAATGTAATGATAATCACATAACTCTATTATAAAAACAACACGAATAGAACATTCATATACTACAGTGTACTTACTCCAAAATACAGGGAACACTTTGGCACAGGATACACTTTCTTTATGTCAAGAAAAACTCGTAGCAAATCATATTCAAAAGAAAACATGACCTTTATACCTGTAGGGGGATCTGAAATTGAAGAACGTGTGTTATTACTCGAAAAAAAACCCTTTTTATCCAGCTGTTTAGTTGGTATATTTATTCCAGATTCGATAGATTTATATATTTTATATGTAAAAAAAACCTGAAATTTGAATTCTACAATTTACTCCTGATTCTAGCAACCAAAAGTTGTGTTGGTTGAAATACGCTTGAACATCGATATAGACAGGATCACCATGTAGCATCAACACCGGATATAGGTACCCCCGAAGCCAAGGAACAATGATTGCAAAAAGTGTCTTTTTGATTCCCCGAACAGTTTATCCGCATTATATACATGCATTTCTCAGTGAAAACAATAGTTTATTTCGAAATACTGTGTCGTTTAACCTTACATATGATATAACTTTGTTATACAAACACGTCAAATGAATAAATGTACTTTAAACAAGTTAGAACTTGTCACATACTTCTTTGAACAGGTACCACCATGTCCGATTCTGACGATTGTAAGAGAGACAACGCAAATTAAGGATCATATTCAGCCATATATTGTAGCTACATTATTAGGAATTCATCAGTATCACATGCCATAACTTGTCAGCAAAACGTAGAATATAATGAAAATCAGAAGAATTTGACCTAAACTGACTCCCCATTTGTTTTTTCCACCGCTTCGTTGGTACCTATATCCGGTGGCGATGCTACACACTAGATGAATTGAATAAAAAACTAAAATTGAAGAATTGCTGATTAAATAATGTATTTTAAGTACTTACAATGAAACAAGTTCTCGTTAAGTGACAATTTCTTTGTAGAGGTATCGAATCCACAAGAACAGGTATAATTAACATTAATGTCAGATTCTGTTAAATTTTTAATGATTAAGGAAAATTCAAAAGACCCGAAATTTACATCTTCTTCGTATTTGTTTTTATCTGACGAATACCCGTTGTATACAAGTCCTCTGCGTTCAGGACCACCTGACCACTGACGTACAGTACAATCTTTAGGATTTGTAAATATGGTTTCTAAATGACACGTAAGAACAGTATTTTGTCCGAATATTGCTGGCACAGAAGACATTTTCCAATACACTGAAATCAGAAAGAAACAATTATAATCATAATGATTTGATAAGTAATGGAAATTCGTAATTTTTATTTTTGGATAAAAAAGAACGTGTTTTATTTTGTTACAGCTCTCCTATATAAGCATGCAAAGCAAACCTTTGATCAACTTGCTTGCTATGTTTGTTTGGATGTTTGTAAACAAAAGGTAGGTAGTCTGTTTCAGGCTGGTTACTATATACTGGAATTTGATTGGACAATAAACAGTAACTTCATTGCATGTCAATTTTTATTGTCTAATCAAATTCCAGTATATACAAAACAGACTAAAAACTCCGCCTACCTATTGTTTGCAAACATTCAAGCAAACATAGCAAGCAAGTTGATCAAAGGTTTGCTTTGCATGCTTTTATAGAAGAGCTGTAATATCTTAAAAGGGTTACCCAGAGATGGAATTATAATGTCATGTTCAACCATGATTTGTGTCAAACAAACTTGACAAAGTAAAAGACAAATCTAAAAGACATCCATATACACATATAAATCTTTATGCAAAAAATGAAAGTCATATTTATATGTGATATATTCATTGATTTTTTTTTTAAACTTTAGTAAATTTACTTCAATATAAATGATCATTAGCCCCTCAACTCTGAGGTTGTGAGTTCAAATCCCGCACGTGGCAGGTGCGCTCGACTCTAATCTTAATCGACTAATTATTGTCAGTTTTTCTACCGAAGGTTGGTGGTTCTATCCGGGTCCCTTCACCAATAATGTTAAAAGTGGCGTTAAACACCAATCAATCAATCAATCAATCAATCAATTATTTAATCAATCAATATATCAATCAATTAATCGATCAATTAATCAAACAATCAATCAAAAACTCATGTTGAACGCATCTATTCTATCGAACCTGAAATAAATGTTACAAAAAATAGTTACGATGTTTTGGAAACCAGCTAAAACTTTTGACACGAATCCCATTAAATATAAAAAGTGGAGATTCAACTTAAATTAAAAACAAAGAAAAAAAGGAGATGGAACCAAAATGGTAATATCGAGAAAAAAGCAAGAACGAAAAGAATTCAATTGAAATATTTGAATGGATAACAATTGAAACGATTATTCAGGGAATAATAAAGCCCTTTGTTCAGAGAAAAATTAAGGGTCTTCTCATTTACAAATGCATACTTATTGACCATTCAAATTGAAAAGAACTTGAATAAAGACATGAAAATAACTTTTGTTTTATAATATTATAGAGTAAAATAGTAATTAGTGGTTAAGCAAGTAAAGGTAATAATCAATTACTCCCTAGTAAATACAAAAAAATAGCTTACTGGTCATTAAAAAAATAATTCTATATATTTTTACGGAAAACGAGAGATATGTTTTTACTTCCGGTAGAGAAAAACAACGTCCAATGTCTCATGATAAACTACATTACACTGATTCCAAAAATGTATGGCTTTTATGTACTGATTGTTTGCTTATTCCAGTTTACACAATGTGACTTCATATGTCGTATGATTGGCTACTTTACGCTGATTTCAGAAATAAATATTTTTTCGGGTACTCTTGAATGAAATATGTACAAATATGGCTACATTCGATTTACAGCAGGTCACTTCTGATTGACCTTTAACAAGGTCGTATGTCTGTTAACCTAACGCAGATGACCATTGCTTTATCGTATACCAGCTATTACCAAAAGATCATTCATAGATTTAAATATAAAAAGGCAACGACCACTAGATAATTGTCAGCGGAATTGTTTAAATTCAATGAATAAAATCTTTGCCTGAATGTCCCAAACATTTTGATCTATTTCCAGAAAAATCTAAGAGTAGAAAACTCTTTTTCAACCAACTTGCATTAACGTTGTGTCAAGTCGTTGAAAAGATGCTTATTCTGATAACACTTTTGTGAATATTTTTGTGTTCGCTAGTTAAGGTATGTCGGATTATAATAATCCGACATACCTTTACTAGCGAACACAAAAAGGGGGATCACTTTTTTTACCTGTAATATTGGTCCAAATTATGCAGATCAGTCTTTCGCGGTTTTGACCAAAAGTAATTATACGGGGAGAACAATCCTATATGGAAAACTGTTTGGTTGAATATGTTGAAGTTAAGATAGCTATAAAACCAGGTTTAATCCACCATTTTCTACATAAGAAAATGCCGGTACCAAGTCAGGAATATGATAGTTGTTATCCATTCATGTGATGTGTTTGAGCTTTTGATTTTGCCGTTTGCTTAGGGACTTTCCGTTTAGAATTTTCCTCGGAGATCGGTATTTTTGTTATTTTACTTTTTTTCAAAAGCGAAACAACTGTGCGATTTCAAATACCAAAAATCTAATTGAAATCTTACGAAATAAAAGAAACAAAAGTGGCGGAAAAACAATTAATAAAAACACAACCAGATTACGTGCAATCTGTTCGTTTTTCCATTTTTTAGTCTAATGCAATATTATCGATATGCTGCCATAACTATCCCTTTAAATTTTGATGCACTATCTATGAAAACTTTACAACATTTCTACGACATCGATTTTACGTGCATGCTATATATTTTAAGATCTGATTTATACAGTTTTAAATGATTGTATCTCTGGGAGTATAATTGCTACATTTATAATTGTGTTCGGTATTCAGATGCATTTTAAAATGTATTTAAATTTGCAAACTTTATGCAAATCATTATTCCACCCAATTACGTATACCTCACATTAAATCTATGAAGCTGACCGAAATTTTTAGTTTTAAATTAAATATAAGTACCAAAGAAAAGAATTATGTATCCTCGTTCAAAGCGCAAATGAACGTAAACGGCCGACTGATAGATAGTTTCAATTTATAGCTTGAAGACTTTTAGTTCGTATTTGAAATTTACAGATAAACTTGTTCTTCTTTATATGGAAGACAGTTTCAAATCTAGTTATGAAAAAATCATACTAGTAGTTTATAAAGTTTATACAGATAAACACGAACTCTTTCTTATCTTCTGATGTACTGAATTCGTTTTTGTATGCTATCAAATGTTTGTCCACCTCCTATTACTCTCTGATGTCAGTAGATACTATTTTATGGAATACTCATAATTAGATTAACCCCTGGATGTAGACTAACGATAACTGAAAAGTCGTTCCTACCTTCCACTGAAAGAATTTGGAATTATTAATTAAAACACAACTACAGGAAAAGTACGAATTATCTTACAATTTAAACGAAATATAAAGGGTATCTTATTTATACCTCAAAAATAAGATGGAGAATGGTCCAGAAAAGTTAACGTATTGCATACTGGACTAAGGCACCAAATACAGTTCCCCAAATGTTGACCTATATACAATACATGTAGTAAATGATCCTAAATGTTTCTATGGTTCTCCTATTGTCTTCCATTACTTTCTAAAATTACGATTTAATAACAACCCAATTTCGGCATCGAAGGTCATCGTTAACCATCATAAATCTATTCTATTCCAAAATACAATAAACAAGTTTACGTCCAATATAGTGTTGGTCCATTTTGTTTATTTTTTAAAACACATACTCAAAATTTGTCACAATCTATCTAAAATGCATTTTCGAGTAATCTGTAGACGATATTATGTCCTTAATAGTGCAAAATACGCATTAATGGTCTACATTTTCAAAATATAAACAGAATTATTATTAATTGTTATACAGATTAATATTCAAGGACTTTAAATAGTGTGAAATAAGTTCAAGGCAAAGTTGACTACTTCTTTACTTACTTATATTCATATATGATAGCTGTGACTATCTGATTGCTAACATCGAGACAAGGAAGCCATATTCGATGTATACCTGCTTCTCTGTGCATACATTTACAATTTGGATAAGTATGTGTCGAAAAAGAATAATTATCCTTTTTTTTTGTCATACGTTGCTTGTCATTTATAATTGTACAACGAATCAACTAAATTAAACTCTTTACTTCACCATTATTAAGAGCAGTTACCTCCAAATGCAAATGTAATAATAAGACAACATATCCCCCCCTTCCCCCCCCCCCCCCCCCCCCCAAAAACAACAAAAAACAAACAATTTGAACAACCTTATATCATTTATGATTTTAAGCATTGAATGAGTCTCTCGTTATCAAGCATCTGATGTCCGATTTTCAATTAAGATTTCAATGCAAAAAAAATATGATACAAAGGGACTAGCTATTTGAGATTTATGAGGTCTAAGGGCCTGCTTTGTAGAAGGATTTGACTGGGATGATAGCGACTGGAAAAAAATAAACACTACGAAAATGTGTCGGCATAAGATTTAGAGTACGGATGGATAGTTTCTGTGTCGAAATCGTATATCCTTTTGTCAATCCAGGAGATAATTGAAAATGAAATTGAAAACAGTCACACATCCTTCAACATGCTTAAATTATGAACATTTTACACCTACCTTGGCTAACAGCACACGGCAAAATCAATATAATTAGGAAAACAATATTCAAATACGTCCAATCCATGCAGAATTGGTCAGCTTAAAGAGTCAACCTGCAGAAAGTAAAACAATTTTCCATAAGATAAGAATTATGCATTTAGTAACCATTCCAACTTATAATATTGATAAAACAGGTTTCTTGTTTCGGTTTTGTGATTTAAAGAAAATTCCCAATACTTTCTGAAAATGATAAACTAGTTAACGTAAATATCGATGGCAGCTGACAAAAATCTATAAAGAATTGAATGCTTTAGTTGCATATAGGTTGTGTTCACTGCAGCAGTGGATCGACTTTGTCGAAATTGTACGCGCAGATCAATCGGAATTGTAGATTTATTTCTAACGTCAAAAGATCCACGTTTAGGACAAATTTCGGTGTTATTGGTCTTCAATTGTCTTCTTCTTTGTATTTGATATCCAACTTATTTTTATTTTAGTGCCACTGATAAGTCTGATGTCGGCGAAACGTTTCCCTGTCGAAACGAATTATAAGACTGGTATCTTTGGTGATTTTTTACGCGGGTATACTCTTTATGGTTGTACTCGGTTTTGCTCCGTTTTAATTTCATGAGATTTCCTTCTGTATTTTCTCTTAATTTGTTTTTGATCAAACGGATTTACGAGTTTTGAACTATAATGTTGTCTCCTGTCCTGATAATCCAGCAGGTACAACATAACGTTATATTTATTAGACGTATTCAGTAAAAAATCATCACTTTCAAATATATATGTAGAAAAACCAAGCAAATCAAACCTTATTTGCAGTGTTAGAAGCTTGAGATATTTTGAAATACACTCCTGTTTTGTGCGCACATAATTCTTACTTGATCATTAGAGTTTTTGCAAATACAAATCAGACAGAAAATGATTGAGAATTTGAAAAGTGTGTCAAACATACAGGAAGTATTTGAGATAAATCTATATTTAGATATAAATTTAAATTTTATCTGGCACACTTGCTTTTTGTAGTATCATATATCATAACCCTACCTAATCTACTAAATATATTGCCTTCGTTTGCGTTTGCAATATAATGAATCAGATTTAATTTGTTGAATGTTAAGAACTTCTCGAAATGAAGCCTAATTACGTATTTATCAATTTGTAAATTGATTTATCTATCAAATTATCTTTGTAAACAACGTATCAAGTTGGCTTCCATTGGTTATTAAAAATAGCAATTCCTTGTTAGGAAAACAGTAGTATTTTATTTACCTGGTATTAGATTTGAATTTTGTGAACCCTTCTTTGGTTAAGGAAGTTCCCCTGCAGAGTTGATTATGAATAACTGCAATTTGTTTATTTCAAAAAGAAGTTCTGATTGACAAGCAAATGGATTTCTGTAGTTCATACATTTGATGTGAAAAAAAAAAGATTGCAAACGATACGTAAGCAGGCTCACTGGGAAGATGGTCAAACCACCATATGAATTCAATTTCGAAAAACAGAATATAGAAGTAATAATTTCACACATAATTGTTTTAACCTGGGTTTTATTTTAAAGGGTTGCAAAATCAAAAAATGTTGAAATTATCACCGATGGAGGAAAAACTACTGTCTTCCTGTAAAAGCTTGGAACAATTTATAATTTAAGGAATCCAATGTATAACTGAGTGCTGTTTTTTTGAAAAGCTATGCCAAAATAAAAGCAAGTGACTTTCGCATTTTGTATGAAGCATGAAAGCGCTTCTTGCATAAAATTTGTTCTGTACTTCCATTTTGAATAAATGAAAATGTTACATACAATTTGAGAGTTATTTGCTGCAAATACACAAAAATAAAACATTGCTTGATGTCATTACTAACCAAAATTTTAAGCGTAAAACAAAAGGCGTTAATGGACATGTGAATATAAGCAAGGTGCTACGATAGCACAATTTTAGTGTGACGTAATCGAAGTGACGTTATAAACGAGAGTATGTCCGATTCCAGACCAAAAAGGCTTGTTGGCTACATTTACATAACTTACACACGTCGCGTTAAATAACTTTTGACAGTGAATAGACAAAAATAAAATACTCTAACTGTTTGAACATGTTTTTTTGACGTTTGTGCTTTTACGTTATTGCTCTGCATGTACAAATCAAATAAAAGATAATTTGCTAACGTGTGCTATTTTCCCGATTTTACTCGCATTACTTGTCCTTATAGCTCATAAAAGGATATATTTATAACCAAAACAAAAAAAAAATGTCAAAAAAGGTACATCATTCAACATTTAAATCTGAAAATCCGAGTTTGAAATACATTAGATTTAACGGCCAATTTAATCCAGAATCGTGCCTTGGTTCTCTCAATGACGCTATTTTTAATTGTTTTATAAACACCAAGCTGACACTTTTGGATAAACGTGCTCTTGATTTAAGCTCAAACACATCAAACGAACGGAAAACAACTGTCATATTCCTGACTTGGTACAGGCATTTCCTTACAAAATGGTGGTGTAAACCTGGTTTTATAGCTACCCAAGCCTCTCTCTTGTATGACAATCGCATATAATTATATTATATTAATAAAAATGAGTGAGCAAAACAAAAAGACAACTTAGATTAAAATGTTAACAATCGGGATACAGCAGTCAACATTGTAATATAATCTTAATCACTATAAAACAAATAACTATTTCAACAAAGTAAAAATAAACATTTGTTGACATTTATAGATAATCAAGTTATTCTTTATTGCGCATATTTAAGTAACAAAGAAAGTAAGCAAGTAAGTAAATTTTATTTAGAGTCGGAAATGCTATGTACAAATTAACAGTGTACACATGAACTCTGTAGAGCTCTAAACCGACTTGATATTTAAAAAAACAAGAACAAATTACAAATTATAGTTATTCAATTCACTTGTGTGATATGGTAATGAAAATGCTGTAAGTTAAAAGGTTTATGCGGTTGACAACATATTCATTATCAAGTTGAAAAGAATTTTCCAAAAGGTAAAAAAAAATATAATTAAGATAACATTTAACTACATTGACAGCAGAATCCCAAAAGTGCTTCCCTCTTTGCGGACAAATCATGAAAAAATGTGTTTTTTTTCCACAAATGTTGAATATTAAAAAAATAAATAGAGAACGATTCTGCTTCAGTTTTGAAAAGGCGGGGATAAACAAAGTTGACAATGTTCATCTGTACAGCAACAAAAAGCAAAGAACCCCGTAACTTATATAAAGGCAACAGTAGTATACCGCTGTTCAAAAGTCATAAATCGATTGAAAGAAAACAAATCCGGGTTACAAACTAAAACCGAGGGAACACATCAACTATTATAGGAAAACAACGGAACAGCAGAAACACTGAAGTGCAACAAAAACAAACGCCAACATACATAGAAACGAACTATTGGATAATAACTGCCATATTCCTGACTTGGTACAGCACATTTTAAGAAAAAATGGTGGGTTGAACCTGGTTGAACCTGGTTTTATGGCTAGACAAACCTCCCGCTTATATGCTTAAAAATATCGCTAAAATGACAACACTACGTGACAGAAATACAGCACAAACACACGCAAGAACACTCATAACAGAGAAACACAGACAGTGACGTATTATTGTAACGAATGTATAATCTTGAAATTTATACAATGATTTTCACAATACTAGTCCAATCAATTATCATGATAATGACGGTATTGAAAGGCTGTTTATAATTATTTGGACTACAAACGATAAGATATAACACATTATCCAACTGAAAACACAACAGAAACATCATAAATAAATACATGAATGTTGGATGTATAAAATACCGAGACACGTCGTATAGCAATGCAAATTAACACTCGGCAAAACAATCATATTCGGGAATAAGTCACATTTGGTACTTAGCAGACAGACGACCTAGATGTCAAACCACAATCTAAGACGTGGTAAAAATGTCATTAGTTAGTTTAAAAACATACACATCGTATAGATCAACCAATTCGTGATGGTGTCCATAAAATTTACGGAGTGTCATTTTTAATCTTTCCTCCTCATAACTCTGTTTGAGGTGTTTCTGCGTAAGGATCACACTTCTGTATATGAAGTGTGTATAGTGTGAATATGCACGAGCATAACGTATCATTTGAGATATGTAAACACCATACGACGGAGCAGAGGTTATGTTACCTCTGAGAAATGGAAAATTGATAATTGGGAAGTTGAAATCATCCCGTTTGTCATAGATTTTAGTGTGAAGTCGTCCACGTCCATCTGTGTCAATATTGAGGAAAAGATAAAGGTATCAAGCAGTCCTTCTTGTATCAGTTGTATACTTAATTTCAAGTTCACTGGGATATATGAGATGCAAGTACTGACTGAAATATGGGTTATTCAGTGATAGGACATCATCAATATATCTGAAAGTAAAATTAAAGAATTTTGCAAGGTGCTTTTCTTTTTGGCTTTGATGCGAACACATTATATTGAATAGACGTAAGGATTGGTACATTTGCAATGTTTGCGGAGGTATTTATAACGCTATTGAATGGCTTTCGTAAAAAAAATACGTATTGACATTATACAAATTAGTAAAGTGCTCACAGCTTTGTCAAAGGAACTAACTCATCCGATTGCCACAAAGATGAAAACAAAACAACAAAAAAGACAAACTGAACATGATACAAGATGAGAATAATCGCAGATACTGAAAGATAGTTCAAAGCTTATTACAACTAATACACAAACCATGCTTTTCCTGACTAAAATAGCAATCAATACAAATCTAACAGAATTAGTGTAAAGATATCATAACCAGTCTGAGAGATATCAACACACCTAAAAGAGAAAACAATTACGGATTTTGTAAATCATAAGTTGTGCTGTCGAATAACTTTGAAATAAACTGTAATAAACTGGCCGACGTAAACACAATTTTATATACTTATATATCTTTTTCTTTCATTTGAAGGAGTAAACCTATTTTCAAAATAAAAGTGATATCCCTTTATGTTCGTTAATGAAAACGAAGGCAGCGATTAACTTTGAAATAGAACTTTAAATCGGATGATATTCCCTAGAAATTTGGAGTGAAAATGAACTGTAAAAACAAGTTTATGCTATGAATCGTAAAAAGAGTATTCTTTTTGGAATAGTACTTTTCCATTCTGTATATTTGTTCCGCCTAGAATTTTCCTCGGAGTGCGGTATTTCTGTTATTTTACTTTTTAACACTGTAATTAGATCTTTGAATATTGTTTTTTTTAGTATTAATATTGATTTTGTTATCAGTAAATTAAAAGCAAACTAAATATTATTGTTATATACATATGCACATTCATGGATCTACAATCTGCCGATACCTGTATCTTAGCATTGCACAAGGTCATGTTTTTCTCTGGCTGTTATGCCGTCTTTACACTAAATCCATTTGATGTGTATAGATTGATAATTTAGTCTTAGATGCATGATTTTTTTATGAGTTGTTATTGGCTTTGAACTAGCTGTCAGTAACTGCGAGTACTCTCAGACCTGTACTTAGTGTTTTTTGTTGTTGGGATGTACAAGTACCCGGCCACGTCCACTCTAAGTTTTTGTTAGATGTTTTTCTATTTGTATCCGTCTGATGAGTTAAGCCTTTTCAACTGATTTTTATAGTTTGTTCTTATGTTGTACAACACTGTCCCAATTAAGGGGAGGGTTGGGATCCCGCTAACATGTTTAACCCCGCCACATTTTGTATGTATGTGCCTGTCCCAAGT